ACCAAACAGGAACTGGCACGGAGTTCTATCGCCGTCCATCCTGGCTAGATGGCCTAGCCACTCCAGACGGCGGCAAAGAACATGTGTGGTAATATCCACCGGATCTCGACGATTCCAGGCCTCCATAATGGTCTTCCTGTTGATGTGGAAGTCCCAGGGGTCTCTTCTACTGATGGCTAAGATTGTGGACATGCAGCGAAGATGGAAGGCGGACAGTGCCGCAAGCCCGCTTTTCAGTGGCACCCAACACTCCGCTCCGTAAAGGAGAAGAGAAACCACACATGCATCATACACCATTCGCTTCGTTGCCAGTGAAAGATCGCCATCATCAAAGACAGATCGACGCAATGCTCCGAATGCCCTAGATGCTGACGCTATTCGGGACCAAGTGTCCACTGCGGTGCGGCCACCAGTATGGATAATGGAGCCTAGGTAGCGAAAGTCATGCACATTCTCGACATTAGAGAGGTTCAGTGATTCGTTGTCAACTCGTAAACGAAATGAGATCGATTTCGTTTTGTATTCGGCTCGTGCAGTGCCCAAAATAGGTTCAGTGACTCGTGCACGAGAAGACAGCGAGTCGCATCATGATTGCCATGGTAAATATGGCAGAGAGAAAATTTGAAAGATCGTTCTGCAAAATTTCTTCGCGCAAAGACTTTAATACAAACGCACGAACTTTCGAACGTCATGTCAGCACATCATCAAGAACTAACTGTTCCGACCGTGACTGGGCGTTGCCGATGTCCTGCCAAGCCGTATTCCCTTGCGGTAAGGCAAAGACGTTTTCATGTCCGGAGGACAAGATCATGTTCAGCAACTTGATGTCATCTAAGACTGCAAATTTCCGAATTCTTCTGCATTCTACAGGAGTTGCTCCAGAGGGAGACACGGGGGTGGAGGGGGACGTTGGGGGAGCCTGCACTTCACTTGACATTGCGGAAAAAGGAAAGGAACAATTCTTACCAAACACAACGAAAGTGAAAACGAAAGAATCGATAATCAACAAAGATGAATTTTTTTCAAAAAAGTCAAAATGTTTTCACACTTTCTGGGGCAGATCGATCTCGGAGCTGCATACGAATCAGACAGGCCGGATTCGTAAAAACGAATCTTCTGAACGAGATGTCAACGAGACTCTAACCCGGACCGTGTGTCAGCACTCGTTTTGTTCATGATGGACGACAATCCTCCAGAGAAATGCCGAAGCCGACCGCCATTACTTTGGTTTTTGATAGGTTGATGGTGAGGCCAAAGCGAGTTGCGACGTCCATGAACCGGCTGAGTGCAAGTGTGGCACCATGGTGAGTTGTAGCAATAAGTGCCGAATCGTCTGCGAATTGACATTCACGATGGATGTTGATTGTGTCGGTCTTCTGGCGTTTGAAAAGGAGAGACGGTCCAGAGTTAGAGGAGACGGGAAGTCCAATCTCAGGTATGTCCGCAACTTCACGTTGCCACAGCTGGAATACTGCCCACATGAATATATTGAACAATACTGGGGCCATACAACAACCTTGTCGAAGGCCATTTTGCACCTCAATAGGTTCGGCCTCGATGCCCGGGATCGACAGGTTTGCAGACATAGAGGCATGAAATGAGCTGATAATGGTAACCAGCTTGTCAGGTACGCCCGCCTTCCGGAGAATTTCCCACATGCACTTACGGGTGACGGAATCATAGGCCTTCTGTAGATCAACAAAAACCATGAAACCAGAGCAGCGATGTTCATAATATGAACATCGCTGCTCTGGTTTCATGGTTTTTGTTGATCTACAGAAGGCCTATGATTCCGTCACCCGTAAGTGCATGTGGGAAATTCTCCGGAAGGCGGGCGTACCTGACAAGCTGGTTACCATTATCAGCTCATTTCATGCCTCTATGTCTGCAAACCTGTCGATCCCGGGCATCGAGGCCGAACCTATTGAGGTGCAAAATGGCCTTCGACAAGGTTGTTGTATGGCCCCAGTATTGTTCAATATATTCATGTGGGCAGTATTCCAGCTGTGGCAACGTGAAGTTGCGGACATACCTGAGATTGGACTTCCCGTCTCCTCTAACTCTGGACCGTCTCTCCTTTTCAAACGCCAGAAGACCGACACAATCAACATCCATCGTGAATGTCAATTCGCATAGTTTCTCAGATATTTGTCTCACCGCGAAGATCACGTCCGCGCAAGATCTGTCTTTGCGGAATCCACACTGCGTGTCTGGCATGATGTCTTCTGCGAGCCGCTGCAATCTTGTCTGGATTAGGCCAGCAACAGCCTTACCTACCACCTCCAGAAGAGTGATGCCTCTCCCATTGTCACAGCTGGATAGATTTCCTTTTTTTGGTATCGGGACAAGCTGGCAGTCCACCCACTCCTGGGGCACCCGCTGTGCTCACGCATACCGTAAAGTCGCGGATAGAAGCCGGGTTTGCATACAAGCACATCGCGGATAGAAGCCTGAAAATCAAACGGATCAAATGCATATAAGCCTGTCGCGCGTAGAAGCCTGGCTTCTATGCAAGCGCGGATCGGGTGGGTCAAGAGTGCATGCGCTATGTACGGTACATAGTAAAACTGCCGCCATACCGGTAGTCAGTGGTAGATCTACGCGTGTTGCGCGTAGAAGCCTGGCTTCTATGTGCATACAAGCCTGGCAAAAATATCAGTGGTGCGTATAAGCATGGTTTGCATACAAGCCTGGCTTGCATTAAAGCCTGATGCAGAAAGCGGCTTATGTCAATGTGTGCTTATAAGCCCGGCTTTTATCCGTGACTTTACGGTAAACACACACACACACACACACACACACCACACACCTTTGACCTTTGATGCCCCACCTCCAGTGGAGATGATAGGCTACTGAGTTGGGCAGTACTTGATGTGACGCTTCAAATCGCCACTTCTCCTAAACGCTCTGCCGCATGCGCAGTGAAAGTCCTTCGGTGCCGGGGGAGGAAGACGATGTTGATGGACCCGCCTGCGCCATTCCGGACGATCTTGCGCGAGCCGATACCACTCGGACTCCGGAATATCCAGTGAGCGCAGATCACCGAAAATCGTCTCTCGCGAACGCTTCTTTGGCCCATGCCGTGGTCTGGTTGCCTCGAGCTCCCCAAACAACACTTGTTGAGGAATCCGTGCCGCGTCCATACGGGCAACATGACCCAGCCAACGCAGACGGTACTCACGCAGGAGAGTGCCAATGTCTTCAGGAAGACGCGCTCTCTGGGCTAGATCAGCAGTAGTAAGATGACGGGAGTGCTGATCGCTCCTTGAGACTCCCAAGATGGAACGGACGCATGAGCGATGAAACAGATTCAGGCGATTCATCTGTCGGGCCTTCATGGGGCAAGTCTCTGCTCCATGGAAGAGGGTAGGGAGGACAATGGCCTTGTAGACAAGACGCTCAGACTTGATGGATAGGTCGCTACACCCGAAGATTGGCTTTTGGAGAGCGCCCAAAGCACGAGAGGCCTTGGCAAGGCGGGAGGTGAGCTCCTTGTCCAGAGCACCGTCTGCACTCAGGACACTGCCAAGATAGGTAAAGCTGTCCACAACCTCCACGCTTCCTCCATCCTGAAGATCAATGGAAGGTGGTGGGTCAGAGCAGTTCACCGCCATGGCCTTGGTCTTCTGGACGCTCACAGTTAGACCCCAACTCGAAGCACAGGACACAAACTCGTTTGTCATCGTCTCCAGGTGGCTCAAAGAGGTGGTGTAGAGAGCCGCATCATCAGCAAACCGGAACAGAAGACTGGCGGTGCCACGAAGAGACCACTGCAGAGAAATATAGATTAAAGAGCGTAGGCGCCAGTGTGCAGCCCTGACGCAAGCCATTCCGGACGTTGATGTTGTCCGTGACGACGTTAGGGAGCCGAACACGCGCCATCCATGCCTTCATGGAGCGACTGGACAAGGCCAAGCAGCTTCGGAGGAATCCCCAGATTGCGGAGCACAAGCCACAAAGCAGACCGCGGAATGGAATCATAGGCCTTGCGCAGATCGACGAAAAGCACATATAGCTCAGAATCGTGCTCTACTGCCTTCTCCATCAGTTGTCTTGCAGTGAATACCATGTCACTGCAGCCACGGCCCCTGCGGAATCCGCACTGGGAATCCGGCAGAACATCCTCCGCCACCGCCTGCAGGCGACCCTGAAGAACACGAGCAAAGACCTTGCCGACCACATCCAGGAGGCTGATGCCACGCCAGTTATCGCAGGACCGTAAGTCACCTTTCTTGGGGATAGGGACGATCTCTGCGTTTCGCCAGTCAGACACGGCAGAACCGCAGGTCCATACCTCATTGATCACATTGTGGACGCGCTCATGCAAGGCCTCGCCACCAGCAAGAATCATTTCCGGGACAATTCCAGACTGTCCACCCGCAGTGCCTGGGTGTAGCTTCCTGATCGCCGCTACCACTTCCTCGAAAGAGGGCGGGTCGTCAAGACTTTGCCTGATGTCAAGCACTGGCATGGATTCAATGACTTCCGCATCAAACACACTCTCAACATTAAGGACACGATCAAAGTGGCGATGCCAACATGCTCCTAAACTCTCTGGACCGTCTGTCAAGTTGCCATTCTCATCCCGGACGCTGGATGTCACCGCTGACTGTCGGCCAGTGTGCATTCCCCGCAACTTCTTAATACATTTCCAGCGGACAGAGCCGTCCCTCTGGGCGGCCTCAACTTCATCCGTAATTGCGCTGATCCACGCCTCCTTAGCTAACCGAACAGCCTTGCCCACAGCTCGCTGGCACCACACACACACACACACACACCATGTACCATGTATACGCCCGTCGCAAGAGAAGCACGCAAATCTGCAAATGCACTGGATGTGCACCCACACCCACACACACCACACACACACACTCACACACACACACACACACACACACACACACACACACACACACACACACACACACACACACACACACACACACACACACACACACACACACACACACTTGTACTTGCTCACTGCTGAAACTGGTCACGTGGGTCTCCCCGGGAGAGGGGAGAAAGACTCAAAATGCATTTTGGAAAGATGACTCAATTGGCTATTGAACCGCCCAACGGCCGACACCTCCTCAAATCCCCAAACTATGGGTGGACTTGGAAAAGATCAAGTGGAAATAGTCTAAATCTGGAATACATATTTGTTTATGCTACAGTACGCCAATACAAAATGCTATGTCTGTGAGCCCGCATGACCCACACAGAGCTGAACCTCAGCGTATATGTATGTCTTCCAGCGTTGAGCAAGTGCCAGACTCGAGAAACATTGGTGTCTTTTAATTTTGTGAATAAAAATAAATAAAAAAATGAATAGTCACGTCTCTCTTCTCGCCTAGATAGCAACTAGCAACGGCTACCCACAGCTCATACATGTACAGTGGATGTGGTGGATATGCGCATCATCTTGCATGTAATGACATCATGTCTGTCAATTGTCGTGTATTCTAGAACTAGCAGCGATATGTCATAGTGCCCCATTTAGGCGACTTGATCTGGGACAGGCTGGATGCTACGAGATCTGCATGTCGAGGGACATATCCACACAATAAGAGAGGGTAATCGCGACCGGGGGAACGTTTCTTGCACATGCCGAAACAGCAAACGGGTGCGCGGCGATGGGCAAGCCGTCAATCGTGCTGTGTGTTCACACGATAGTGATCTGATCGCCTGTGTCGTACAGAGTGACGTACCAGCGCAGGGTGCCAGTGGTGGGGATGTCGTGCAGCACTTCACTGACGCCAGTGCGGTGATGTGTGCCGGTGAGGGTGTGCTTATCATGGTCGAGAGCTAGCGTGATCTGATCTCTGGCTTTCCACCTTTGACCAAGTGCACCGCCGTTCCGCTTTTGGTAATTGCTGCCTGAACCCTTTCCATACCAGCCAAACACTTGGGCATGGTCTGCGTGAATAGAACCAAGCTCTGGCGATTCGGCAGAACATACGCATAGAAAGATATACGCTTCTCGGGTCTGAGCAATTTGAACTCTGAAATAGCTGATACCAGTCTTTTCTGCCACTTTCCCAGTGCATACTGCTTTTGAGGTGCCAAACTGTTGATGTACAATTGCCTGGGTCTGTCTTGCAGTGTGTCCATCATTGCTGATGTGAATAGAGTGGTAGCAGCGGTTAGCATCAAATACTGCACGCTCACAGATATGCGCTGACACTGAACGTTTGCGCAGGAACACATCATGGATTCTACTGAAGATCCAATGGAGGCCGGCTTGTTGAGGAGTGAATGCAAAGTGGACTGTACCGTCGTTATCAATGCGGGTCACAGCATATTCAGTCCATGACTTAAACTTATCGCCATCATCATCATCATTTTCACCTTCTAGAGCAGCAATCACATTGATTCTATGTTGGTGAATTCGCTCTGGAGTCAGTTGAAGCTTTGTTTCCGGAGAACATTTTGGCTGAATAGTGACGGTGGCGTCCTCTCCCAGATATCGCAGATTGCTACACTCCAAGCGACCATCTGCAAGATCCAGTGTATAGCCAGCCCGAATAATCTCGGTGAACAGATCCTCGACATCTGTTGGAGCAAATGTGATTGCACTGGACACACACGGTTGCAAGTAGTCTTGCGTCGAGCGCTTGGCATCATCAACGGTGCTATCCAGCCAGTTGCTCATTTTAAGAAAGTCCGTGTTGTCGTCACACGAGTTGACAATCTCCGTTATCCTCTCACCATGCTTGACAGCCTCCAGGAGTGTGGATAGTTGCTTTTCCAACGGCTGCAGCTTAGTTGTACGCCGTTCGTCCAGCTCAGCCAGAACTCTCGTTTGGCGTTTGGTGATCTCTTCCCTCAACGTGTCATAGAACTCAACAGCCTGCTCAGAGGCACTCTCTGTTTGCTCATGAAGAGTTTGCATACTTGTTCTAACGTTGGCAATTGCTTTCGTCCATCGCCCGTCAACAGTGCTCAACAGATTTTCAAGCAACTTCTCTTTGGATTCGCCTGCTGCCTCCTGGATGGGGCGCGGTGCATGCTCAGTCAGCCTCCCCTGAGCTCCATTTTCTTGAGCGTGGCTGTCAATCGTGTGTACTCCTTGCTGCATACAAACAGCACACAGCAGCTTATTGCAAGGGAAGCAGAAGTGACTCACCGACTTGGACGGATGAATAGAACAGCGATGCTTGTTATGCCCCTGTGGGGCTAAAGCGTTTCCGCTGGTTTGACCAGCTTCATCTTCAGCTCCATCATCGTCCGCAGGTGTGTTGCCCTCGGATAGCTTCGAGTTCGAGTCATGAATACCAGTGACTTTGTGCTTGAATGTCGCGCGCGTGCGCGGGTGCACTTCGGCATGAGCGGTACATAGCATGCAGTCACATTCTTCGCACACGAACTCCGCGATCTCGTCATCTCCGCACTCCTCGCACAGCAACGCAACTGTAGCTGATCCGGATCGCGAGCCAGCTTCGCAAGCCAACTGCTTTGGATAGGCGCTGGGTAAAGAAAGCCCTGGTGACCATCCTGCCGTGAGTGGCGTTCTTTTCCTGCAAGCAGGGCAGCTGATGCCCACCGCTGAGTCGTCTTCTCTTGTATTCTCCTCCAGGCACGTCATACAAAGGACATGCAGGCAAGATAGCAGCCTGGTTTTGTTGTCCTTCTGGCAGGTTACGCACTTTGCTGGTGCCATTGCTAAAATTCTGTTGCATGCAGGCGTCCGAAGCCTCGGCGAAGGATCGATCTCGATCTGGCACAGCTGCAATACAAGACTCAACAAGTTTTTGGGTTTTTTTTTAATCTAGACTACAACTAACTAGTACAAGACAACTAATCTTTCCCGTGTACCGGACTACGTCGACTGCCAGGTGCGAGGCCGACACGTCATCCGTATCTGCTCTTGTACCGACCTGTGCAGAGTGAGTCAGTACGAGTATACCATACTCCATAGTACAGTCCGTAGATCTACAGTCCATTCATCGGAAACTGGCCCCGCTGGCTTTTGAAAGTCGGTTTTGGGCCGAATTGAGGATCAAAAACCCACTTTAAATCTCAAAAATCTGGTTTTTGGATCTGCTTCTCCATACATTTTGCCGTGGCATACCTGTCCTAATTTTGTAAAACCTGGCTGAATTTCTATTTCCCTGTTCTTGGACTTTTCTGGCCTCAAATGTGGCAAGGAGTAATTGCACGGGTCACACAATGCAGGATGTACTGTTGTTTTCACGATATCTACAACTATGTGAGAGAGACACCAAAAAGTTAGGGTGCCAGTTTCCAATGAATGGACTGTACGCGTACCGTAGTTCTCAGCTAGCTGCAGTACAGCCTACAGGCTACGCTACGCTAGCGCTACATGTACATAATAATAATAATTCATCATCATAATCATTGAGCCACAAGCAAAAGGCTGACAACGACATTTACAACACAAAGAAAGAAAAAAATTCTACATCCTACCAACCCCTAGAGTAAAGAACCTTTGTACTACTCCCTGATTTGAACCAGGGAGTAGTACAATAATGTGGTATTGTACTACTCCCTGATTTGAACCAGGGAGTAGTACAATACCACATTATTGTACTACTCCCTGCCGTCCACCGGTACCGCGGTGCACCTTGATGACCTATGTTTTGTAGGCAAAAAAGCATAGGGATGTTATAAAATTTTCATTTCTCATCCTGTAGAACGGGTAATTTTAGCGACTATTTTTTTAGCGTTTTCCCATTGTCAACCGGTTAGCGACGTTTTACTTTAGCGATTAGCAGCGATTTTACTCACGGATCACCAGTGCACTACTAATGTCTCAACGGATTAGCGACTTGAAACTTTAGCGAAAATGAGTCGATCGCTAAATTCGCTAGGGTTTTTACGTCGCTAAAATTACCCGTTCTATAGTATCTTTTTTTCAAGACATAACGTGGGATTCGAACCCGCACTATCGCCCTGCATGCATTCCCCTGATACACTTCGCATACTGAAGTACATACAGTCATACCGGTACTCATTCTTCCAAGTTGCTTCACGTTATGACCTTGCATTTGAAAGCCCTATTTGAATATTGTGGCCAGCTGTCTTTGATGGTACGGTACGGTACGGGACAGGTAAGGGATAGCGCCAGGCATGCCGATGGCACAAACAAACAAATACGGAATTAAAGCTGTGTGGACCCTGGCTAGCGCCAGACGTTACTGAAGTAACGTCTTTTGCATAGCTACGGGAATAATTATTATAGAGAAGTTTCAACTCAGCTGCCACTGACTGACAAGTTTATAAAATTACGATCCAGTTTGAAAATAAATACTACCCTAGGAGAACGGTGAGTGAATTATGCAATTATGTAGTCGTTACCGGATGAGCAGCAGGGCCGCAGCACTGCCATCAAGGCAAACATTGTGCAACATGCTGCTGCCTAGGGTGATAGCATCATCAAGTAATAGTTGTCATACATACGAGAGAGAGAGAGAGAGAGAGAGAGAGAGAGAGAGAGAGAGAGAGAGAGAGAGAGAGAGAGAGAGAGAAAGAGAGAGAGAGAGAGAAGCCGTGTTGCAACTCCGAGTTTCCCGTAGTCACTATCGTCAGTACTGTAACATGGGAATACAATACATGACGTGGTAGTAAGCCGACGTCGGCGTTCAGCGAGTGCAGACCAATGGGAGCTATGCATCATCTTCCCGCTGTTTGATTCTGTCAGCCGTACACACTGTGATACCAGACCTGCATAAAAGGTCATGAACTGTGTACTCACGAATATCGAAATATGTACTGAACTGGCTGCATGTGTCAAATGTGGGACACGTTGACCCGCAAATGGGCTGCAGCCATGTTCTATGCATAGGTGCCATTGTATGCACAGCACCGGTGAGCCATCAAAACCGTTGACGTCTAGTGCAGCTCTGGGGCTGCATGCCGAGTAGGCTACCGGCTATCATAGACTGAAGGCAACATCATTGTCGGTGATCATGAGCAGCCTGTGGGCATAGCTATGTGCATCTCTGGCTGCAACGCCAACACGGCGGAATACGCGTGTGGGCGCCATCCTGTGAGAATCCTAAGTTTCAGGTCCCAGCAGCGAGCTTGGCCGTGCTCCAACCGTACTCTCAACCCGGACAACCATGTCCTATCAAGACTACTATACAAAGAATCCCATGCCGGCATGGCTATATTCATGATAAACTGTCACACTCAAATATCGCGTGGCTATATGCTGTAGTGCGGGCATTGCAGTCGGTGGCTTCTCTTCAGTGCATTACCTCGCCAAGCATGCACCTAAGCGAATTGCTACTGCTGCATGCGGAAGCAGTTGGACGCATTGGCGATGCTGTTGTGTTTCCCGGGCTAGGCTGGAGGCAGTAGTTCTGCTGGGGTTAGACAAGGCCTCACACTCCACGCAGCAAGCAAACAGGAGCAAAAGGATCCTGTTCCATCGCACATGCACACACTCACGCACACCCTCACACACCTACCTACACAAGCATACACCTCTGAACACACACGCACACGCACACGCACTGTACCTCTAGATGCGCATCCACGCTCAGACTCAGTAGAGACGACCGACATGTTCGGGAGGGATATCCAGATGTGAGTACATAACGCGCTGCTTCGTCACCTGATTGCCACCGCCCAGCTTGGAGTAGGCACGTCGCTTGATCGTGAAACGTCGTAGGTTGACCATGACCACGAACACGAAGCCAGCCACCACAGCTGCAGCAACTAGGATGCCAGCGATTCCACCAGCAGAGAGTGTTCGACTCTTTGGTGGAAGATAAGTTGTTGTCACCGTGTTGTTCTGCGTCAGAGGGGCTGAAGGAGTAGAGTGAGATGAAGAAGGGCGTATGCGTGTAGCAGTTGTAGTAGCAGATGATGCAGGCACAGATGAGGCTGATGTGGGTTGTGAGGTTGTTTTTGTTGTCGCTGCGGGAGTGCTTGTTGTTGCTGCGGGAGTGGTTGTTGTCGCTGAGGGTGTGGTTGTTGTCGCTGAGGGTGTGGTTGTTGTCGCTGTGGGAGTGGCTGTTGTCGCTGCGGGAGTGGTTGCTGTCGCTGCGGGAGTGGTTGTTGTTACTGCGGGAGTGGTTGTTGTTACTATGGGAGTGGTTGTTATTGCTGCAGGAGTGTTTGTTGTCGCTGCACTAGCAGTAGTAGTACTGGGCGGTGTAGTCGTAGCGGCCATAACCGGCAGAGTAATGGCACCTAGATCTACCGGTACACCCTCCACAATCCGTAACGTACGGGTGAGCGACGCGTGCCCCGCAGCGCTGAACTTCAACGTGTGGTCTCCAGCGTTGAGCAAGCGCCAGAAGGAGCCATTGACCGTCGGCACGGTAGCGTGCACGGGGCTAGCGCCCACCACGGTTATATTTGCGTTGCTAAGCAACCGGCCGGCTTCGGCGGAGACCATCCGGCCGTGAGCGTTCTGAAAGACGGTGGCCAGCAGCGCGAGCAGTGCTCCTTTGTTGCTCTCCCAAAGCAGGGGCAGTTGCGCGCCCACCGGGTAGCGGCAGCAACCCAGATCCACGCTCACCTCAAAGCAGTTCCCAAACACGTAGTTGTAGTCCTGCATGGAGCCGTTGACGACGAGCCACTGAGCGCCGTTCGTGATGCCCGACGGGAACGAGGAGTTGTCGTGCGGCGAGCAAGTTGCATGGCCCAGGTGCATGGTGGGGTGTGCAAGTGCGTACGCCATCGAGAGCCATCGGAACACGGCATCGTCACCAGTGCTGGCGTAGCCGCGCTCGCCCGACGGCGTGCTATCGTACGGGTACTTCACGACAAGCTGTCCGCCGCCAAAACTGGCCGACAGGGTGAACGGAGTTGACTTCATCCAATTGATCACTGCTTGCGTTTCCGGCTCGACTGGCGGTACGTGATTGAAACGATCCGGGAAGTTCTGGTTCAGATCTCGCCCGTTGGCATTATGTCGGCCGGATGCACCCTGGCAATCACCCTCTGTGCTGACCTCAAACCCGTCCGGGTTCAACGACGGCAGAACGTGCACGTGCGTTTCGCTCAGCAGTCGTTTGATGCTGGGAGTTGACGTGTTGGCGCTGTTGACCAGCATGTGCTGTACCAGTCTTAGCAGCAGCTCACGTCCCACCGCATCGTTTCCGTGGACATTGCCGACGTATTTCACGTGTGGACGGCCATCGTCGACTTCGCCAAGTCCATGGCTACTCAGCTCGACGGCCAGAAGGTCTCTGCCTTGCACGCTTTTCCCTATGGAGTAGCTACGGCATAGGTGCGGATAGTCCGCCACTAGCAGAGCTACCGTGTCCTCTAATGCCGTGTAGTTGTGGTACGTGGTCCAGTCATAAGGCGCACCAAACGAATCCCATGCAAGATCCGTTTCAGCCAACGTCGTCGTCGAGTCGCGATTTACAATAAGACGTAGCAGTAGAGGCGCTACTAGAGCGAGCAACGACCGAATTGCTACAAGAGGCGAGTTCATCGCAAACAAAGGACCGTGCACTCGTGACTCCATCGTGCATAGAGATCGGCGTATGTAATATCCACACGTTAGTAGTAGTAACACGACCTTGCAGCCTGGGGAAATGGTCACTCACACAAAATCATTGCCCAATAAGATTTCTTGATCAAATCATTCACCTCACGTCCTTTTCTCCATTGCTTGGTCGACAGTGGCCTGTCACAACCAAACAATCCAACAGTTTTCTCACTCTCTACACTACTGCCACTGCTAGTATAGTACAAGAGTCGTTGCAAGACAAAAGGACGACCTGTGCAGGTACTTCAACTTGTTCAAGAGCCAGGATCTAATATTTTTCTCTTTTTGGGTTTCTCGCTTCGCTGAACCTTCGCAGTGCGTAGGTGTCGATGCGACCTGACACTGAACTCCGATAAGGACTGCGCGGATGCACTCGAGCTGTGGATTAGATCTACATACTCATTTTTACGATCAATCATGTCAAAACATCGTTCAACAACGCCGAAGCCTGACTCACTTATTTTTTCACGATACATGTACTGTATGTGTATACAGCTATACAGCTCAACATGCATCGTGTGCATCGATATCGATCATTCGATGCAAAAACACCATTCATGTGCATGTCACGTGCATGCCTGGTAGTGTAGTGTAGCGGACATGGAAATCCAGTCGATTGTCGGATTGACCGGGGCCGGCGCCCGTACAGAACGCTGCGTGCAGTGCACATAATGAGCGCGCTACAGCGCAAATTTAAAAAAAAATATTTTATGCGCTGTAGCGCGCTCGATCGTCTGCATGTGTGTACAGCTTGTCCACGGCTGCATGGCCAGCTAGATGTGCGACCGGATTTCTATGTCCACGACAGTAGATCTACATGACCATACAGTACATGACATTCATGTACAATCATGTAAGTCTTCACAATGCATCTCCGCCGGTGTTGGATTTGGCCGCAGGCCAGGCTGGCTGAGCTGCAGCCATGCAGAACAACAACACAGCCTGTCACTGTCACTGTCACTGGCGTCTGGCGATCTGGTGTCCAGGATGATGGTTGGCGACGTCGGTTTGTTAGGACCTGTCGATGCTGTGGCAGACCGACCCAGTGCTGCTGTACTTGCCTGTTATCATGGTTATGCAGGCTAGCTGTATGTCGTTCTGAAAAGACTAAAAGTACAATCATGTACTCCACCGTTGTATTCTAGTCACAAGCTACAAAATGTGTCCTTTGTCCTCCACGGAACTACAACACCGCAGCAGCAGGTTGACATTGGGTGGCTGCCAACATCTCGCCTGCACCTATCACTATCAGTCAAGAAGGTTTTGTAGAAAACCCTGCCCTGGCGCGATCGTGCTGTACTGGATCAAACAAACAAGTGAGTTCTGCCTTGGCCTGGGATGGCGCCGCAATGCTAGTGCCTGGTCGTGTTGGATAACGTCGAGACCACTGGGCACTGGCGCGTGTCAGGATAGTCATAAAGGATACATGTACGTACCGCGTATTGTGTCTGTGGAGGATGGCGTCTCAGACTCTATGTTGTAGGCATATTCGGTCGGTAGGATCTTTAATTATTATTATTATTATTTATTCACAATCACGTGGCACTAGCCAATGAAATGGTGATGTGGGCGATAGCCAGCCATGGCGGTAATAGAGCTAGAGGGGAGAAAGAAAAAGAATGAAAGGGGAACTGAAAAGCAAGAGAAGCTAGGGCAGGGCTGGATATCGACTAGTATGTTGCATTCTGCAGTAGCTGTGTGAATGTATTGTAACATTGGCAGGATTTTAGATGTTGTGGGAGGAGAGACCAATGGCGGTAAGCAAGGAAGAGAGGAGATGTTATCATAGAGGCAGACCAGCAATACGGTGTATGTCCAGATGATCATGTGAACCGCTTGAGACTTGAATTTTAGGCACAGTTACCTAGCTGGGTCTTAATCACGAGCTACAGTTCCAAGAGGGAGCCAGTTGGCTCCCCACCGGAACCTTCATGCTCTTTCGTGGTCCTGTACCGCGCTAGGCTTTCAGGCTTAATTAAAGGGGAAGTTAAGGCAAAAATTAAAATTTCACCAGTTGTAGTCTTCGGGGTGCTGAGTCGAATGGTCTTGGTCCGAGAAAGCTGAGACGCTCCCTTCCTACTTGAATCCCAATCGAACTCGCGCACTTCCACCGAGACTGGGTGACTGCGCCCTACTACATGTAGATGGGGATTTGTATGCAAAATGTCACTAAAAGCGCCATTTCGTTCTTATAAAAGCACGGATGACCGCGATTGGCCCATATGTTGTATTCTTTTGGACGCTGAGTCGATTGGTTTTGGTCCGAAAAGGCTGCGATGCAGCGTTCCTCCTTTATTCCCAATCGAACATGGTTGAACAAGCGGTCACGTGCTCCTGCGTACACCAGTCACCTGGTCACCGTGCCTGCAGGGTACAACTTACTAGCGTGTTTGACCTTTTTTGGGTGCAATCCTGTCACTCAAGGTGAACCTTGGTGTGAAAGTAATTAGTTGTCGCCTGCTGGCGTGGTGACCAGGTGATTTGGGCACCCAGGAGCACGTGACCACTTGTTCAACCATGTTCGATTGGGAATAAAGGAGGAACGCTGCATCGCAGCCTTTTCGGACCAAAACCAATCGACTCAGCGTCCAAAAGACTACAACATTATGGGCCAATCGCGGTCATCCGTGCTTTTATAAGAACGAAATGGCGCTTTTAGTGACATTTTGCATACAAATCCCCATCTAGTAGGGCGCAGTCACCCAGTTTCGGTGGAAGTGCGCGAGTTCGATTGGGATTCAAGTAGGAAGGGAGCGTCTCAGCTTCCTCGGACCACGACCATTCGACTCAGCACCCCGAAGACTACAACTGGTGAAATTTTAATTTTTGCCTTAACTTCCCCTTTAGCCTATGCCCTCAGGCCGGAGAGTAATGTGGTTGCTTGGGGCCGTTCAGGTGGGGATGAAATCAGAAATAATGTCGGAGCTCGCGTTTCCTGCCGAAAGCCTGGCGCTTGAGTGACTCACAACTGCCGTCTGCATGGCGCACACGAGAAGTCCATCGAACCTTTCCTTGGGCAGACCTTCAAGAAAAGCACCACTGCTTGCTCAATACACGCTACATCATTCATGAGTTGAGCTTGAGAAAGCTAATGAAATTTGTGCACAGAGATCACTGCATTATGTAGTGCTCTCCCAATCCAACGACTTCTTGTTTATAAGAAAGGGTTTGCTCTCCACACTGGAGCTCGCACTATTCCCCCGACTTTACTTGACACTTGACTGACTCACGACTGCCATCCAGAGCACACGAGAAGTCCATCGAACCTTCGACTCGGCAAACCTGCAAGAAAGCACCACTCCCTGCTCAATACACAGTGTTTCGAGGAATTCACCCTCATCAGTTGAGCTTGAGTAGGCTGAGGAAGATTGTACCTGAAGAGCACCACTTATAATATTTATAGTGCTGTCCAGGCACAAACATCACCAGGGATACAAACTTACAGAGACGCTCCGTTTCCAGCGCGACAAACACCTCGTGAACACCACGTTTATGGTAATTAAAAGCAAGCTCTACTAGTAATAGTATGGGAAACCACCACCAAAACTCTCCACGCCATCTGCAACAACTACATGTACATTTGTATGTCTTGCACGACAACGTCAACACCAACCAAACACCCCTCGGCAGAAAAGGACCTCCATGTATTCCATCGGACTTGCACACACAAGCAGTCACCGAGATTCTCCTATCAGCAGTGCCCTCACCCTTTACAACGCACTCCTTATCGACATCACAACCCAGCCTCGTAGAAATTCGTTCCGACGCACCCAATCTGCTTTAGAGCAGGACCTGTTCCTGCTCCGGGAATCCACCTCAAGGTCCTCACAGTGGAGTCGAGTCGAACGAGCTGTACTCCCGGTGCTGAGACTAGGCGGGCTCACACCCCTGGCCCTGTAAGGCAACTACTTACTTCCCCCGCGTACTAGTATCTCACCCCAATACGAAGCAAGTACAATGTCACGTACTTGTATAGTAGTAGCTAGTAAGTAGTAGCAAGAGAGTACATGATGGTTTATGTACTCTTGCTGCTACTTACTAGCCATACTGACGGAAGCGAAAAATCCTCCTGGTTTCTGATGCCATCCATTGTTCTTAACCCCCCCCCCCCCCACACACACACACCCGCCCGTGTTATTCCCATCTAGCAACCCCAAACTTCCCAAGGGATACCAACTTACTGTTACAGCGAGCGTCTTCCATCCACCTGCAAATACTCAAGCTAACTGATGCAGTGATGGACCTGATGGTCGAGTTTTTTCTGTTTTTTTTTACGAGAAACCACAAACCTCGAGAATAGGCTCCGGCGGATTATACCGGCATTGGCATAATTTGGTGGTTGAATATTTGGAGCATAATTTGGTGGTTGAATATTTGGAGCATAATTTGGTGGTTGAATATTTGGAGCATAATTTGGTGGTTGAATATTTGGAGCATAATTTGGTGGTTGAATATTTGGAGCATAATTTGGTGGTTGAATATTTTCAGCATAATTTGGTGGTTGAATATTTGGAGCATAATTTGGTGGTTGAATATTTGGAGCATAATTTGGCATCCTTTCGTAGGTAGGAGAATAACTACTTACATGATTGTATTACAGTTCTACCATGTAGGTTACACAATGGTGCACGACATACATGTACCTGATCAGTACTGGTGGTCTGCATGGTATAAAGGGTTCAAGGGTTCAGAGACAGAGGTCATGGCGCACATACACGTACATGTACATGTATGTGCGACGTTAGGTTTGTGTGAACTTCTAATACCCTGTGGATTGTCTGCTTCACGCGCTTGTCTAAATTATAGCACCACCTGTATGCATGTCCCAGCAGCACTGGCACTGCACTATGTGTTTCGTGACAATCTACTGATTCTTTATATTTATATTTATTACAACATCTCAAGACTCGGTGGAAACACCGGCCAATGTTAAGAGAGTGGGTGATTGCCAACCACGGCGATAAATAAAAGTAAGGGGAGGGAAAAAAGAAAGAGTAGCAAAATGAACAGCAACAACAACTCCGTAAAGAAAGATAATGTCAAATAAAAACAGTGAAAAACACAGAGACGCAAAGGACATGTGGATAATGAGCTATTAATTTTATGTCGTAGTAAATAAGGGGCGGCACGGATCTTAAACAGGCGGAGTGAGGTCAGATCCTTAACTTCTCTGGGTAGAGTGAGCCAAAACAGAATAAGCAATAAAGAGAGGGGAGCGCAAAAGAGTGGATGAGTTACACTTAGGGAGTAAGAGCGAGTTTCTAGTTCTTAGAGAAGAGAACCAATTAAAAC